TAGCCTGGTTCATTGACTTACTGAGATTACTTAGCTGGCCAGATCTGGAATTTAAATCTTGTTTCTCTGAGGCCAAATTCTCTGTTTTTCCTCCCACATCATGGTGTCACATTTTCAGGAACACAGTGCAGAATTTGTCATCTCTCATACAGGACAGTGTTTCCCAAACCTGGTTACTTAGTAAGCCTCCCGAGAGGTGTTTGAAATACAGATTCCTGACTTTACCTCTTGAGATTCTGATTCAGCGTGATGTTTGTAGATCTGTATTTCTATATGGTTGCTCGGAGGTCTGATGCACAGCCAGGTTTGGGAAACATTGTTTTATTGAAGACTAGTGCTACAATTTTCATCTGTTACCACCTTTAGGGTTTAGTTTATGGAGATTGCAATCAGTGTGCTTTAGATCAATGTTTCCTTTTTTAAAAACCACCTTACTTTTTAAAACTATTGAGGCACAATTGACATAGAACAGTGTATTGGTTTTAGGTGTATGACTTAATGAGTAGATATTTGTATATAGAGCATGATGATCATCACTGTGGGTAAAATTGCAACATTTCCAGAATCTGTCACCTGGCCTTAGTACATCTGCATATCAATAGGTGTTTCCAGTGGGTGGAGAGAAGTGGTCCATTTCCACATCATTAGGTAATTACAAGGGGGAGCGAGTGCATATCTGGACCGGAGAGATTGGGTGGGCTCTCTTCTTCTGCTGCCGGGCCTGGAGAGACACCGGCGAGCACAAGTGGACGACTGCTGAAAGCAATAAATGGGTTTCTCCCATTTTATTTCTCCTTTTGACTGATTTCGGTTGAAAGGTATTTTGCCTCAGGCTGGGAAAATATTTTCCCCAGAGTTACAATCACAATAATCTAGCTAACATCTATCACTACATATTTTTTATGATTATTTTATTTTACAATTATCACAATTTTTTTACAAGAATTTTATTTTACAAATTTTTAAATAATTTTTTTTCTCATGATGAGAACTTTTAAGATTTACCTTCTTAACAACTTTCAAATATACAAAACAGTACTAAGTACAGTCACCATGCTGTATATGACATCCTCAGGGCTTACAGCAAGAAGTATAAACTGTCTTACCTTTTAAGAATTTGTTAAATATCTATGAATCTTAAGAAACACACACACCCTTTTACATACAATTTTAGGGGATGTCATGGTTTTCCATTGCTGCTGTAACATATTACCACAAACTTAATGGCTTATAACAACAAAATTATTGTCTTAACAGTTCTGGGGGTCAGAAACCCCACCCAGGTCTCCCTGGACCATACTCAGGGTACGCAGGCTACATTTTCTTCTGGAGGTTCTAGGGCAGCCTTTTCTTGCCTTTTCCATTTTCTGGCCTGTATTCCTTGGTTCATAGAAGGTTCCTCCACTTTCAAAGGCAGCAAAGCAGCCTCTCCCTGTCCCTGCTTGCATCGTTTCTGAGCACTGCTGGGAAGGGTTCTGTGCTTTTAAGGATTCACATGATTAGATCAAGCCCACCCAGAAAATCCAAGATAATCACTTCATCTCCATGTCCTTAACTTTAATCACATTGGCAAAGTCTCCTTTGCCATGTAAGGTAACAGGGGTGAGGCGTGGACATCTTGGGAGGGGTGTCTTGCCAATGGGTTTCAGCCCCAGGCAAGTTCACTGTGTATCCAATGTACCAAAGAAATGACAGTAGAACGTTCTTGGGGTGAAAGGGTTATATGCAACTTTATTTCCAGAGTAACAGGTCAATCACTAAAATCCTGCCCACTCAGAACAAGTCTGCATACAGCAAGCCACTCTCTGCCTCTGGGCCTCTGTCCTCGGTGCTGCCACCACTCCAGCCTCTGCTCTGCTCTCCTGCAACCTTGCAGCCGTGCCACCATGTCACACAGAGCACTGGGCAGGGCTCTTTATGTAGAGTCAATAACAACACATTGCCTACATATGTGTAGTGAGCTAGCCAGCCAGGGCCAGGTGAGAATCCTGGCCATAGGACCCTTCACTTTATCCACAGGGGGGCATTATTTTCCCAACCACGGGGTGGGGGTTCCAGGGGTGGGGGTGTCTCACAACTGTGGAGTTACCCACAGAGCTGTGTGAGTCCTAGGTTTGGAGCATCTGTTCTAGGAACGGCTCATTCTACAGGTTGAATTAGCATGGAATTATGCTTAGGTGCAAATAACCAAATCGTGGCTCCTATAAGTTGGTGTTTAATTTATCTCATGTAATAGGAAGTCTGGAGGGAGACAGCTGAGGTCAGATGTGGTGACTGTAGGCCTTTGCTGCTGAGGTCTCTGCAAGTCTTCTGGCCTTTACTTGGAGATAGCTCTCAAGATGGCTGGGGCATCTTAGCCATGACCTCTGCCTGTGGTTCAGGCAAGAGAGGGAGGGGCACGGGGGAAAGCCACAGATCCGGGGAGGCTAGTTAACATCTAGTTAACATCTTTAGAAAACCTCCCCGGAGGTCCCCTCCCCACCCCATAATGTATGTTTATGTCTCCTTGGCCAGCACTGTTACATGGCCACCTTGTCTGTAAGAGATCCGGGGAAGCATAGTGTTACTTACTCATTTTTTCAAGGTAGGCACATTAATGCTCCAACAATTCTGGACTTTGTAAGTAAGGAAAAGGAGATATATAGATGTCGGGAGGACACTAGAAATTGATGGAGGCTTGGTTTCATTTCCTCAAATAAGAATGGAGCATTGTTTATACTCACACAACCAGAACTCAGAGAAAGCTAGAAGTCTCTTCAGAACCTCCCTGCAAATGCTTCAGCCTCTCACTAAGCTTGCTTTACTTCAAGCAGATCATTCTCTCAATGATGTTTAAGCGTCTACCTATGCCTGGCACTGAGCTGGGCAATGCGGACACAAAGATAATTCAGGCACTGCTCCAAAGACAGTCTTACAGTCTAGGGAAGGAACAGGGAGCCAAAGATGATTAAAATATTGTATTATATGTGTTAGATGCATGTAAATACTGCTGTGGGAACTCAGAGGAGAAAGGGGTGGTGGAAATGGCACAGAAAGGTTGAGATAAAAACTGGGCAGGAGGACCAGGATGGTGGGGATTTAGCCGACTGGGTAAGAGGGGTGGGATGTTCTCAGAAGAAAGAGCAGCGTTAGAGGACATGCAGATGTGTGCATGTTGAGGGAGCAGATGGAAGTCATGGGGATGTGTTGCAGGGTTGTGGGCAGTGAGGCAGAAGGGGCATGATATGCAGCTGAACATGGAGATAGAGCCCCTCCTGCTTGTGGCCAAGCCAAGGAGCTTCAACCTGCAGGAGTGGGAGCCTATGGGAAGTTCTTAACCATTATGCAATGTTTGTAACACAGTGAAAAGGTAGAAAGAACAGAGCACCCACAGGGATACCTCAATAGTGTGGTCAGATTTCATTAATGACAAAAGAGCCAGTTCACTGTGAATCTTCCATTTGTATCTCAAAACAAAGCCCTAAATTGTATAAGAGAAAAAGTCACAAAACTAAAATCAGAAATAAGTCCATCAACACAGATGGAGATTTTAATATACCTCCTGGAGTAACATATAGGATAAGCAAACAAAATATCAGTAAGGATATGTAAATTTTGAAGCACATGATTAACAAATGGCATAACTGACATATATAGACCAATACTTCCAACAATGGAACATTTCTACATTCTTTTCAAGTGCACATGAACAGTTCACCAAAACTGGCCAGATGCTGGGCTGTAAGTCATATCTCAACAAATTTCAAAGGACTGAAAATGTACAGAGTATGTTCTATGACCACAGTGGAATTAAGAAACCAGTAACAGAAAGATGGTTAGAAAATCTCCCACAACTAGGAAATTAACGAATACAGTTCTCAGTATCCCATGGATCAAAGAACTCAATAATTGCAATGAGAAAATATTTTGAATTTTTTGATAATGACAATATAGCATGTTAGAACTTGTATGATGCAGCTCATACAATGCTTAGAGGGGGATATATTGTGTGTGTGTGTATATATACCGACAAACATCATATATAACCTTAACTATATAAAAATATGTTATTACATGTATGTACTATATTAGAAAAATAGTAAAGCTAAAAATCTGAGCATCCATTTCAAAGAGCTAGAAAAAAGTATTGCAAATTAAATCTAGAGAAAGTAGAAGGAAAGAAATAATATAAAAGTACAGATCAATAAGTAAAATTTTTAAATTAAAAAGTAAATGTGTTATAAAAAAAAAGACACCTAAGTCAAAAGTTTCTTTGAAAAGATTAATGAAATAAATAACTCCTACCAAGACAGACCAAGAGATGAAGAAGAGCACATATTACCTTTAACAGGCATGAAAAAGGAGGTATCACTATAGATCCTACAGACATTAACAAGGTAGTAATTATGACAGTGTGGTTAAGGAAAGACAAAGACTCGAACTGAAGTCTAGGCAATAGAGATGGGGCCGAGTTGATGATTTGAGAGCTTGAAGGAGTAGAATAAACAGGACTGGTTGGATTGGGTGTGAAGAGAAAGAGGTACAGAACTTTGTGAGGGGCTCTCATCTTAGGTGACTGGGTAGCCAGGGTGCCACTGGGCAGCTAACATGGAGAGACAAGCTTGGGGAAGTGGGACTAAAACCAACTTTTCCCTGTTTTAGTGCTTTTTTTGACTTTGGGAACTTGCTATCTGGGACATGGGATTATTTCATGGATCCAGAGCTTGGAGTCCAGGTATTATACCAGAAAAACCTGAGGTTTAAATCCCAAGTCTACTACTCAATAATTGTATGCCTTTATGTTAGTTACTTGGCCTTTTCCCCATTTTTCCTCATCTGTAAAACTGGGGGTAACAGTACTTAGTTTAAAGAGATGTTGTAAAGATCAAATAAAATATGTAAGGTACTTGGTATACATAGTAGGTACTCAGTAAATGTGGTGTCCCTGTCTTTCCTCATACTCTTTCCCTGATGTCATCAGGGTCCCTGGGACCATGTGCCTACTCTGATATGTGTATGAGCACCTGGGAGCAGGTGGTCAAGGGAGTGAGCTCTCATTTTTTTTCCTGGGATCCTGTCTTGTGCCTTAAGGGTGGTTCTGGAACACGGGCTTTCTGAGCCTTAAGGATGGTTCTGGAACATGGGCTTCCTGTGACTTAGGGATGGTTCTAGAACATGGGCTCAGGCACAGCTACGTGGTGGGTTCTGGGTAGGGAGTTCTACTTTTTATTGATTGCAGGCATATTTTAGAAAAACGTGATGTAAAAAATGTCAGTAAGGATATATTGGCTCTCAAACTTAAGCGTGCATCAGAATCACAGATTGTGAAACAGAATGCTAATGGAGCAAAGGACTTGAGTAGACATTTCTCCAAAGAAAATATGCAAATGGCCAAAAAGCCCATGAGAAGATGCTCAACATCACTTATTATTCGGGAAATGCAAATCAAAGCAATAGTGAGTTACCACTTCACCCCCATTAGGATGGTTACTATATATAAACCAACCAAACCCCACCAAACGAGAAAATAACAAATGTTGCCAAAGTATAAAGAAATTGGAAGTCTGTGCACTTTTGTGGGATGTAAAATGGTGCAGCCACTGTGGTAAACAATATGGTGGTTCCTCAAAAAATTAAACGGAACTACCATATGATCCAGCAATGCCACTTCTGGGTATTTATCCTAGAGAACTCAAGGCAGTTATCTGCAACAGATAGCTTACATTTGAGTTTATAGCAGTATTATTCCCAATAGCCAGAAGGTGGAAGCAACCCAAGTGTCCACTGGAGGATTAATAGGTAAAGAAAATGTGTATATACATACAATGGAGTATTTTTGATCCTTAAAAAGGAAGGAAATTCTGACACAAGCTACAACACAGGTGAACCTTGAGGGCACTGTGCTAAGAGGGATAAATCAGCCGCAAAAAGTCACATATTGTATGATTCCACTCACATGAGATACTCAGAGTGGTCAAATTCACGGAAACTCCAATGGTGGTGGCTAGGGTGGTGAGCTGCAAATAATGTAAATGTACTTAACGCCACTAAACCGTACAATTAAAGATGGGTAAGATGGTAAATTCTATGCTCTGTATATTTTATCCCAGTAGCACACACCCACCCCCTACACAGCCAGCCCGGGCCCCACCGCCAGAGCTTCTATTCAGCAGGTCTGGAGTGGGACCTGATGATCCCCAGCTTTAGCAGGTCCCAGGTGCTGCTGGTGGGGCGAGCAGCCGAGGGGCCAGCGATGCAGACCAGGTGAGCGCTAAGGGAGGGCACGCTGCTCACTCCTGCGCGGCTGTCAGTGGCAGCAGCTGGCATTTGTTGAGCGCTCGCCGCCCTCAGATTATCTCAACTGGGGAAGGTGCCGCCGCTGGGCGGGCGGAACAGAAGCTGATTCTCGCCCGCTTTCCTTGGTCCTGGGCGGAGTGTGAGATGAGAAGGAACGAGACCCGAGCCTGCTCGGGGGTGCAGAGCGGCTCAGGCAGCCTCCCGGCCTGAGCGGGGGGCGGCTTCGGTGAGCGCGGGGCGGCACAGGTGGGCGCGGGGCGGCACAGGTGGGCGCGGGGCGGAGGCTGTGGGATGAGGAGCGCTGGGCGCGGGGCGGCGGGACTGGCGGTCTCGGCGGGCGATGCTCACGGCTTGCGGCCTGCAGGGGGCGCCCTCCCGCCGTCCCTCTGGTCCCGCCCGCCCGCCCGCCGGGCCGCCCACCCCACGGCGCGCCCCTCCGCAGTCCGCCGGCCCGCGGCTCCGAGCGCGCACTCTGTTCGGCGGCTGAGGACGCCGCCCGCCTGGCCGCCCCTTGCCCGCCCGGACCTCGGGCCCGGCCCGCCGCGTCCCGCCGTTTCGCGCGCAGAGCTCTGCCCAGGGCCCGGCCGTCGGCGTCCAGCTGAGCTCGGCCCGCTCGGGGCTCCGAGGAGGCGGCGGCCGGCCGGGATGGGCTGCCCGGCGGCGCGGAGGGGCGCCCGGGGGCTCGGCGCGCTGCTCCTAGCGCTGGTGGCCGCGGGGAGTCCCGTGGGCGCCTACAATCTGGACCCGCAGCGTCCCGTGCGCTTCCAGGGCCCCGCCGGCTCCTTCTTCGGCTACGCGGTGCTGGAGCACGTCCACGACAACACGCGCTGGTGAGTGCCCGGCCGGCCCCCGGTCTCCTCTCCGCCCTCGTGTCCGCCCGGCCTGCAGCTGGACTCAGCCCCTCCGCCCGGCCGCCGTTCCGAACGCCCAGGGCCGGCGCGCAGCGCGCCCAGCGGCACACTTCTCGGTTTGGGGGACTCCTGGTGACACTCCGCCCTCGTCTCCGCCTTCCTGCTTGTCCAGCGCCGCTGCGCGCAGGAAGCGGAGTCACGCGGGGACCTGGGGGACCGGCTGCGTGTGCGCGGTGGGGCAGTGGGGTTCCCAGAAGCCGAGGGTCCCGGGACCCCAGGGGCGTATCGGAGCCCAGGCCCTCTTCCCTTTCAGGCGAAGCTAGGGGTGACGGTCGACTGCAAGAGAGGATTGGCCCGGACCCGAAGAGGCAGGGCTGGTGGGAAATCCTGGGCAGCGTGGGCCTCTTTTCATAAGGGTCAGCTGCCCTGGAGACGGGCACCAAGGAGCCTTAGTATCGGGAAGGCCTCGGTTGGGGTGAAGGTGTTCACTCACCCCAGAGTATCTCTCCAAGATGCCCAGGGGTTGGGAGTGTTCCGTCATTAAGCCCTGTCTGCTGAGTGCTGGCCTGGGAAGCACGGAGGGGAGGTGTCCTTCCTTGATCCCTTCCACGGGACAAAGGGAAATTAAACAGTCTCACAAGGGTCACCTCCTCATCTAGAAGTTAGGTCATGGATAGTTCCCGTGGTCAAGGGCATGCCCCGTGTGGGTCTAGGTGACAACTAATCTGGGGTTGATTTCGTGCGGTCACCAGTGTGAGCGTCCTTAGGGGCTGCAGGCTGGTAGGGTGAGGTGGGTGATGAGTGTGCTCTCCACGTGGAGTTCTGTGGGAGAGTCCCTGCTGTAAGCTGAACAGAGGCGGACAGGAAAGGGAGGATTGATAGATCAGAGTTCTCAGGCATTCCTGGCAAGGTGGGGACTGGTGATGAGCCATCCCATGAAAAATCATGCTGTTCAGGAGGACTGGGCAGAAGCAGTTGGAGAACGCATCCCAGAATCCCGTGCTGGGCTCCTGTACTGTGTGACCTTGACACAAAGTACTTATGAGAGGTGTCAAGAGTTGAAGGGCTCCCTGGGCAGGGGGCTCCTGAGGAAAGGCAGGCGGTTGTGTGGGTCTGCAGGGTGCAGGCTTGAGGGCTTCCAGCTCTTCCACTGCTCAGCTGAGGAGAATGCCAGGACTTGTCACCAGGAATTGGGTGGGCCACAGGTCAAAGCTGCCCCAGCCTGGGAACAATGGGGTGGGGAGAGCAGATCTGACATGAGAAGAGAATGGAGCCTGCTTTGTTTCAAAAAGGGGATGAGGCAAAGCTGTGTGATGTGAATAATCTGGCAATTGCAGGACAGGACAGTCTGGCCTTCCACTTGGCACCCAGATTGGGGTGTGGAACTGGACGGCGATGCTGACTCATGGCCTTGGCACTGCTGGGGATGTAGGACAGGTGTGTTGGGGTCCCGAGGAGCCCCATCCTCAGCCAGGCTGCTGTCTCAAAGGTGCCCTCACCGTTGCTGATTGCGAGCGGCCTGCTCGTCCTGTCAGTGCTCGTCTCCAGGGCTTGTTAGGCACCAGCTAAGCTCTCCTGAAATCTTTTTAAGGCCAATTCTCCCCAGCCCCTGTTGCCTTGATTTCATCTGTTTTTGCTTATGTCCTTGATTTCTGTCCTTTGGCTGCTTTGTCCAGGTGTTTCCCTCCCTCTCCTCCTCCCCCTGTGGTGTTCTTGGTCTTAGACCCTGACGGTCTTTGTCCCTTGTGCTGCCCAGTGTGGGTGAGCTGCGACTTTGAAGCAAGAGCCTCTCAGCATCTCCTGCTTGCTTCTTTCCCTTTTCTCCAGAGGCTAGACTTACCTGAGGCTAGTGAAACCCTGTCAAAGGTGCCTTGATTTCACAGGCCCCTACCAAGGCCCTGCGCCTAATTTTATCCTCATAATTTTATATTAAATGTAGTCACCCTAACTTTATAACATTTAGGCTTTGTAGAATCTGGATCTACTCTGAGTCTCTACCTTAACTTTCTGCTCTGGGGTTGGTTGATTGACTTAGTGACTGTTGGTCTGTACCCACCAGGCAGTCCCTGGGCTCTGGATTTTTCAGCCCAGCTTGAGGAACATGTGGGTTGTTTATAATTAGGTGTAAACAGCCTTCTAAACAAAGCTTTGCGGACATCCTTAATGATTTCCTTTGAATAATTTCCTCGGCTTAGAATTGCTGGGTAAGAGTAGAGGCAAGTTTTAAGGCATTTCTCTGCATTTTCAAAGTGCTGATGAAGCTAACATGTGACTTTAGAAAACGCATTCCATTACTCAGGCCCTGAAGTTTTGGAGCAACTTATCAAAGGGCTGCTCTAGAGCTTCACAGCCTCCCGGAGGGCTTAGAAAGACCACAAAGGGCCAGAACGAGTGAGGGAGGTGAATGAGAGACATGAAGAGGGAAAGCAATACGGAAACTGAGAAGCAGAGGAGGCAAATATTAATTAAGCTTTGCAGAAATTATGCTTTAGCTTTTCACTTCAGTATTAGGGCCTTAGTAAATTTGTTTCTTTTCACAGGTGACAGGGCTGGTATGTAAGTAAGGGGGCAAGAAGAATGTGTTGGCGGGGGCAGGGAGGGAGCCTAGGCACCAGGTCAGCGTGGGCTCCGCACGTGGCAGAGCTGAGGGTGGTGGCTAAGGGCACCAGGTGCACATCAGGACAGTCTGGAATTCCTGGCGGTTCTTCTTTAAACCCAAAATGTCCCTGATTAGAAGGTCCTAGGTTTCTGTGTCTGGGAAGAGGATGACCTTGCTTTTCTGAGTCCTATGGGCTGTGTCCAGCTTCTGCAGTCACACTGCATTGAGAACGGAGACCCAGACCCAGCGTCTCTCAAAGTGTTTGCTTGAGAGGTCCCTCCATTGCCGTGTTCTGGGCAGTGAGGGTTGTCCCCATGGCTGGGTGGACCAGACTACCCTGGGCAGTATTACAGATGCCTTTTGTATTAGTTTGGATGCAACCATGGAAGCAACTCAGTTTCCTCTCTTCTGATGATACCCAGAGGGTATCTGCCTGCCCAGAGCCTGCTTCCTCTCCCACACCCTCCACTGTGGGTCGTCCTGCACCATTTGAACAACAGCAGTAGGTTCCAGGGAGTACAGACAGAGCTGATTTCTGTTCCCTTCTGTAGACGTGAACCTGTTCCTCAGCTGCTGGGCAGACAGCTATAACACCCTGTGATAGAAATAAATGCGGCCCAGCTGGCGTCCAGCCCCCAGGGTGGGTTTCCTTCCCTCCTTCCTCTCTGCCCCAGACACCCCGGAGTCCAAGTCCGAGGTGGTTGGGTGCATTGGCTGCCTAGCTGGCGACGTGCTTCCTGCCCCCTCTCCTGGGACACATCAAGACGGCTGTGCTCAGGCATAGAGCAAGTGCTCGGAAATGGAAGACATGCCGGCTTTTTGCTTTGTTAAGGTTGTCAGAGCATCATTCAGTGAGGAATGGGGAGGTTCAGAGCCAAGAAGAACGTAGCATCCTCACTTTGCATTAAGGTTGGGAATTAAAAGAGCAAGCTAGACAGCTCTGACTGCCAGTGCAGTTGCCACTGGGCAGATGTGTTGCTATTTAAATTAAATTTAATTACAACCAAATAAAACTAAGAATTTCATTCTTCGGTTGCCCAAGCCACATTTCAAGTGCTCGGTAGCCACATGTGGCTAGTGGCTGCTATATTGGACAATACAGAACATTTTTATCATTGCATAAAGTTCTGGACATTGCTGATTTACAGCAATGACATAAGCCTTATAAGAGCTAGACAGATTAAAAGGTGATACAAGAGATACTACCTTGATTATATTTGGGTATTAAAGCTGAAATGGGGTGCTTAAGCCTAACTAAAAACAGTGTTCGGCTAAAGAGGCTGAATTATTTCTCTCTTGATTCATCAAACATTAGAGTGACTGGTCTGTGCCGAGGGGTAGGGATTCGAGAATGAAAAGTCCTCTTGTAGTTTGATGGGCAAGTGGCTTGTCCTTGGGCAGGCACAGTGGTTCTGAGGAGAGAGAAGAGACCCCTGGGAAGGCAAAACCTTTTAAAAGGGGTACCCTGGGATCATTGGCCCTGCTTCCCTCCCCTCAGGCATTGTGGGGTGACACCCAGAATGGCGGTGCAGCCTCACCATCTTGTAACCTCTGGGGAGGCGTGTGTCCTGAGTTCTTCTGTCCCATGCCAGGCTTTCAGGTGGGCGTGGAGCTGCATGCACTTCCCCATCTGGGTTTTCTGAAGTAGCATTTTTCAGACCTCGTTCCTGGTTCTTCCTGGTCCCACACAGCCAGCTTTCTTAGGCTCCCAGGAAGGGACGGCATGTGTATGAGGCCCAGGTTCTAAGGGGCCCAGAAAGTGTCTCTTGGGATTTCCAGGGCTTTCCCTGAAGGTGTGGAGGAGCTGGCAGGGGTGCTGTTTCCTGAGCTGGTGCTGAATGCTGGCTGGGCAGAGGCAGCTGTCTCACCCAAAGGGGAGGACCTTCCAGGGCAAGACGGCAGCTCTTCTGGCCCGTCACTCACAGCTCTGAGCCCCAGCCAGCTCTGATTCCCTAGTGACATGCCACTGGTCAGAAAATGGTCTCCTTCTGATAGCTCCTGTTGTGATTTCTCTGGGTAAAACTTCATTTCTCAGTTATTAAAAGCAGCCACGGTGTTCTCAGAAATCATTTGCTTTCAAAGGAGAAGCATGTAACTGTAAGAAATCAAAATTAATGATCTGTATCAGACTGTGTTGGCTGGGCATCTACAGTGGCTCAAATGCCTCACAGGTGGGATAGTCTTGAGTCGAATCTTTAGGGCAGCCTGGGAGTGGGTTCCCGTGTGCCAGCCAGGGAGCTGGGGCTCAGAGGTGCAGGCCTGCCCAAGGCCGCCCCGGCCTCAGCGATGGCGCATGCTGACTGTAGTCTTGTGTCAGTTCGCGTGCTCTGCACTGCAGATGCTGGGAAGAGATAGGGGTGTGAGAGAATTGGGGGTGGGA